CGCGGCGGCGGCGGCGACGAGGCCGCGCTGCGCGCGCAAGGCGTCTTGGAGACGCTGCAGGCGGCGTTGCTCCGCCTGGAAGGGTCAGCATGTTTCGATGCCTGCCTTTGTTTTATTGTGTGTCGGAATCCTGGGCTTTGGACACCCAGCAAAAAAGAACGCAAAACCCGCCGCTTGAGCATGTGAAAGCCCCGACGTCTTGTGGATGTCTTCGTGTTCCCCCAAAGAGGTCGACACAATGAAGATCCCTGAGACCAAGAGGTCTTCTTGAGACTCTCGTCTTGGTGCTTTCGCTTTCACCTGTCACAAGACGATGACACTTGAGATGTAGACTCTAGACTGTAGACCCCCTGTGAAGAGGTTTTGCAATCCAATGTTGAAAGGTGTTGTTTTGTTTTAATCAACAGTCCACATGAAGTGGATCTTGGTGGATAAAGCTCAATGGAACCCCTGAACCGTTCGACATCGTCCGATGTTCCTGTCCATCAGCCATCAAGTGTATGCTGTTGATGCAGCCTGGACCTGCAGCCCTAGGCATTCATGATCGATCTGCAAATCATCACCATCCCCGGTTCGCACTAGACGACCACTTTGTAGTAGATCTATAGTACTAAGACTATTATACTTCTGATCTCTTCTGCTAGCCCCCCGTGGCGGCCAGAAGATAAGCCTGGACAGGTCAATCCAAAACCAAAATGAACAGCTGCTCCTGAGGAGCCGCTGTGCCATGCGTCACTGCACCTGCCGCGTTGACCAGTTTACCCCGCGTTACCGCGCGTCACCAGTGGTGTGACGGCCTCCACGAGCTCCAACAACTGCGCTTGCAACTGACCGCCCTGGAGATCAGCCAGCCACGTGGGGCTGTCCGGCTCCAAGCCCGCCTACGCGGCGCGCCGACAAAAGGCTGCGGCTCGCGGCACAGAGGACGCGGCTGTCCGGCTCTCACAAGAGGTTTGAAGTTTGACCCGTAGCATCTACAACTTAAAGCACTGACTTACCAATGTTCACTTGAACTGGTTGGACGGCTTCAGAAGGTGTGTGCCCTCAAACAAGAATAGGACATCCCAATGTGAAAGGGCAGCAAAACAAAGCAAACTATGCTGGTTCATCTACAGATATCTACAGTATATTCACTTCTGTGTTCAGCTTCGGTTCTACATCACACTTATTCGTTGGCTTCGTCTCCAAATGGGTCTGTCTGAGAATTGCGCAAACGTCAATCGTCCCAGTGCAGTGATTATTTTGGGCTGGGAAGCTGGCAAGGGTGCTACTTGACAGGGATCTAAAAGAAATGACACCGTCGTATTTGGAAATATCATCAGAAGGTCTGACTGACTGAGAGAATGAGCTTGCTGCTTCTCCGAAAAGTACACTCCCAACAATGGGTTCCAAACAGATGGACTCCTGGTTCTCACTGACACCTCCCCTCTCCTTCGTGCCTGCTGAAGCATTTGGAGCAGCTGCCGCGCCTGGGGTATGTCTTTGGAGCCCAGCACAGCTCGCATGGCCTGGACGCTGCGGCTTCAAATTCGAGTTCAAGTTCGAGATCTATGCATCCGTCATCCACGTCCATCTCTCTGCTGAATTCTTTTCCAACAACCTCAACCCTTTAGCTCGGGAGGAAAGCATAACTACTGGTGCAGGAGAACAAGGAAAAGCTTCCGTGGTGAGAACAGGGTCTTCCAATTTCCGACCTCCGACCTAAAAAGATTTCAAGGGAGTTTTAAGCTATACACCTGCGAATTCTGTATATATCGTGGCTGCCTTAAGCCTTGGTTTTCGCCTATGCCGCATGCAAGTTCCCTGGAAAGTGCCACAATATGTCATAACTACCGCAATTGGCAGGTCCTGGTCGTCTTGCCCATTTCAGTCACTGTATGTTGGACAAAGCTTTCATCATAGCAATTTTCAATGTAATTATAGCAAAAGCATGTTGCTCTCTCAGTCTCCCCTGCTTTTGGTGACTTGTTTTGACGCACAGTGGCCCATGGTGCTACCTCCTTCCCGAGATCGGCTGCGGTGAACGCTGCGCCCCGTCTCGCCTCGCACAGAGGCATCTGGAGCTTCAGATCTTGTACACGCTTCCGACACCTGCCCCGCGCGCTTTTTCTGCATTTTTCTGCCACCCTGCGCAGCAAAACGAACTGTTCACCGTTCGATGGACAGCTGCCCTGTCCGGTTTCAGGACAGCCTCAAAATAGATTGTGTTCGTGTGTTTTCTCTGTTGATTGTTTTGCAACGGGGAGTGATCTCATCTTATAGATTCTTAGAATTATCCTCTTTATGAGAATCAAAGAGCGAAACTCCAGGATAACAGACCTACCATGACCTACCCCTTGGTTTCCTGTTGGTCCATGCTCATGGACCTGGCCTGAGCTCCTTACGCACTCGCAGGATGGTGGATCAAGCTTTGTCTGTGATGCATCAACAAAGCTATTGTAACAACAAAAAACATGGTGTGACGTTGTGTGTTTGTTGCGCCAAACAAACACTGTAACATAACAACACCAGATTTGTTGCAACCCTGAAGACCAATAAATATACATCCCCCATGGCATCCATCCCCCATGGCGTGCCCCATAACATCCCACACCATCCGTTCTGGATGTAACTGATTCAAAAAGAAGAATCCAACCCCCAAAAACTCCCCAGGAGTTTTGGAGGATCGTTTCTGATTATATGATAAAACGAAAAGATAACTTTAAATACATACTCCGTAGTCCTTCCCTCTTGCTCTGGACTACTCCATTCCCCACCCAGTGTCGCCCAGTACTCCCCGGTCCCTCGCCCCTCCCCACGCACCTGGCGACCTCTGGAGCTTCGTCCAGCTTCGCCGCCTCCGCCGCCGCCAGGGCTGCACCGAGCGCCTGTGCGGTCGCCACGGTGCCCGGTGGTTGGGAGGAAGATGGGTGAACTCCATCCAATACATCCTGCAAATGTTAGAAATCTCAAGAAAAAATCCTATCTCATCTGTTTGTTCTTGACCCTTGGACCAGTTCTACACGAAGCTTGAGTTTGGACTTATGTTTGTCCAGTGTTTTAAGGCAGCTGCAGCTGAAAACTAAGCTGTGGGGATGAGTCGGATGGTTATGGCATGAGTCGGATGGTACGAGATCAATGCAATCATATGCATCAATGAAAAGAATGGTGTAACCTGTGCAGGACAGGTGCCCAAGCGGTACCTGCCCTGCTCCACTAGTCACTAGTCTCGGTCTATTTGTAGACGTTCATTTGGGGTACCCGCAGTTTTGACCCCCAAGGTCCCGCTGGCCCACCTGATTTTCTTCTGCGTGCAGCCGTCCAGGGTGCTTTTGCCCCGAACCACGCTTCATGGGAACGTCGAATGAATGACAAGGGGCCTCAAGACCCCTTGGTAGGGTCCTGAGAGGACCCTGAAGGAAAGAAATCTGAAGGTGCCTGACAAGAAAGATTTTCTGCTCCGCTCCCAGATCGCTTGGTTTTCAGCATGGCAGGCCATACAACATCATGGTAGTTCTGTATGTGATATCACACCTGCAGCCTCTCGCTGTCGAAGTTTACTTAGGGAGAGAGCAGGAAGTCTTCCATAAGGACTACGATTTCCTTCTCTTCTCTCGTCGATAAGGAACTTTTCTCACAAAGGCCATTCCTTTGTAGTGCCCTCTTTGGGGCCGCCAAACGCCGTGCGGGACCACCTTCCCATCGAAGAAGAAGGACCGGCCACCAGCCAGTGGAAATGCTTTGTTGCCCATCACAAAGAAGGCCATCTCGTCGATCAAAGGATTCTCCTCCAGGTGTCACTTGCTTGTCTTCTCGCCTTTCTTTTTCTTGTTTTTTTGTGGGGGCACTGCATCAGTCTCCAATAGGGGTGGTGGAATGTTCTTTGGTGGAACTCTTGGAATGATCTTGCTGTGGGTCAAAACAAAGAACCCTAAATGCATGATAAGTTGACCTTGCTGGTAGTCTATTCTGTTCATGTTCCGTGGTGTTTACACATTCCCCAGCTTCTGACCCACAGTGTCACTGTAGCCTGTTCCTCTTTGATTGAAAAAAAGGGCCGGCCAGGAGAGACATCACTCGCCATGGACCTTGCTGGTAGACATCACTCGCCACTCCTCCTGGATGCCCAAGAGAACGGAGGCCTGGCAGGAACGATGTGTTTTTTGCTCCTCTTCGCACCGTCAAACGCTCTCGCTTGAAGGAACGAAGGAGCTGTGTGGATCTCGCCTGTCCGGCTTCAAAACGGATGAACCATACACTCCCTGGAACGACCGCATGGTCGAAATGGATGGCATGGCCTCGAGTTCGGAAGACCATGTTCCATGTGACCAACAGGTGGTCAACTCCACGTAACCATGTTAGCTCCAGGGAGAGTATGGTGCATGAACCCCAACAAATGCATGGCCAGTCTCCTTGTCTGCCCACTCCTGTTTGGGGGGACGAACATCGAACTCTGCCGGGTTCAAGCCGTTTGCCGATCATGTCAGCCCGGGCACTGATTGGTCATTGTCCACATGCACACAGCATTCACTGCACGCCTGGGACAGGCAGGTGAAGTATGATTGACGATCGACATGTTTCTCCAGCTGCTTGTTTGGGTTCACAGCAGTGCAACTGGTCACCAAACAAAGTCTATCCACACTCATGTTTGGATGGCCCTCTTGTCACCGCAGCTGCCTATTTTGGGACCAAGTTCAAGATGTGTTAAGAGTTCACGAAATGATCATGGATTGATCTGGCAGAGTATAGCCCGCACACGTTTGCTGGAAAACTATCCATCAGGGCATCAACAGCACAACCTGCCTGACATCCCTGCGACCTGCACGTCGGGCAGGTGTCCTTGCAGGAAGGAACACCCAGCAGCTTCGCCACAGGAACCGGAGGGCCATGGGCCTCGCTGCAGTTGTTCAACACGGCCATGTAACCTGGCAAAGGCACCAGAGGACACCATTGCATGCAACAAAACGGGTGAATTGCCATGGAATTCGCAGCAGGTGAATTGCATTGGGCAAGTCTGTGCGGTCCAGCAGAGGGGATGCTCCAAGTCATTCTTTGTATCAGGCAAGACGACTGCAATCCACCTAAAAATCCACTCCTACCGCTTCTACATCCAGACTCTTCCACTCGCCTTGGCCGATGTAGCTCTGCACGGTGCCGCCCTCCCCGTCGCGCTCCGCCACGCCGGGTTGCGCGGCCGGGAGCGACGGGGGCGTGTACCAGCGGAAGGAACGCCAGACGTCGGCGTTGGAAGCGTTTCGGAGGAGTTGGACCATGGAGGTGCCCAACATCTCACGCAAGACCTGGAACACCGAGCAGCTTTCGGACGCGCCGCTCCAGGAGTTCAGGTTTCGGAATGGTTGGGCACGTCCCTGACGTCTGAAGTGGATGTTCTGGGCACGCCGATCTTTTTGACCACGACTTGGAACTGCAGAGGTCTGTAAAGAGAGAAAGAGGAATTGCGGCTTGTTGGAAGATTAGTTGGACTACAAGAGGTGGTCAGAGGTTGGGAACTACATGCCACGACATGTGACTCCAGTACCATGCCGATTTCATGAATCGTGCTTCGCCGTGTCCGATTTGTACCCCCAGGCGTCCTCGTTGCACTGCTCCTGCAGCTGCTCAGTGCCAGGGAAGGTGATGTTTCGACTCAGCTGCAAACCCACCCCATGCAGTCGTCCCTTGTGCGTGGGCCGCGAGGACTTATCTGTCCAGGTATCCTCAGCTTCGCTTCATCGGATCGGACCGGATCCACGGCCGATGTGGAGAAGTGAGCCGGCGAGCGTCTGGTGCGCTGGGTGGAGCCGAGTCTGTCCAAAGAAGCTGCAAAATTCACGAGAAGTCCTCCATCTTCCCATCACCGGGCCGAGACGCTTGGCGGTCGATCCAATTTGCCGCATGGTAGGCCAGATAAATGCTGGTAGCTGGGATGGATTGAGGTGATGATTGAAAAATAGCACCCGCTCGGTCTGTGGGGCATCGGGAAGTATCAAATTGACATTCAATTTATTAGTTCGATCAAGTTCGATGACTGGACAACCACATGAAGTCCCGCTATCCGTTTGGGGGCAAATCGTTTGGGGGCAGTCAAACACTCTTTGCAATAAGAGTAGTATGTTGGTAAGATCTGTGATGGCAAGTTGTTGATCCACCTGTCACCCTCCTGGCGCACATGATGGTGCTCCATGTGTCTCCAGACGAGTCAAACGTTGTCTTTTTGATGCTGCTTCGAAGGCAGAACAAGTCAAGTCTCTCCACACCAGGTCAACAAAAATGTCCCAACAAGTACAAAGTACCTGCGGTACTTAGGAACAAGAAGACATGAACTCAGTGCTTACAGGTGACCAGGCCTGTTGAAAATGTCTTCCATCGATCTTCAGGAAAAATAAACATATCCCTCACCCAGTCAACTGGAGATCCAAGTCTCCCAATACTGATTTCCCTTCTCAATCAGCTTCTGCATCTTCTCTTGCACCTCCAACGGCACGGGCCCCACGATGCCGTGGTAGCGATGCCCTGCATCCTCGAAGAAGGGCGGCACGTGCCGGCCGATGTTGACGCATTGACAACGAAGCTCATGGCGCGAGCCGGGAGCCGGGTGACCTCAGTCGGTTGAGATGTTGGTTTCGGTACCAGTCGTTGGTGCGCCACACCCAAAGACGAGTCGCGTCTACTTCATCTACTTCCAGGGCCTCACTGATGTGGAACATGTGGTGTATCTTGGAGTGGCAACAAGGGGTGAGTTCAACTACCAGCACCTCCAAGAGGTCTCCTCCAAGCTATCTAAGCTACCGTTGGATCCAGAAAAAGAAAGTTCAATGCTTCATCGCCTGCGCTCTCAGGTTTTCAACTGCTGGCCTACATGAGCCCGCGTCTGCGCGTCTGGATTCTTGAATCAGGGATGACACCTTTGGGAAAAGAATATCCAATTTCAAGTAATGTAGACTCTTGATTGTTACACCCCCGATTTGAATTGAAAATCCTCTTCAAAGGAGGGGCTTATTAATCAAGCGTCTACATCAAGTTTGATATCAAAATCGCTCCGATGAAATATCGAAAACAACTAATTACAATTGTCCCGACATACCCATCAACTTCAAGAGGCCCTCGAGTAGCTGGAAGCAGCTGTGGCACCTGAGCAGGTTCCATCCCCTTTGCCGCGGCGGCAGAGTCTCCGAAATCGAACCTTTTTTGAAGGCAAACAGGCCTCCGGAGCATTTAAATTTATTACAGTAAACAAACAAAAACATCAACACGGCTTCTACGCGCAAGCAATTCAAAGGGGGGTCGGTCGCAAAGGATCGGGAACGGATGGGTGTTGGACAATGGCCATGATTCTGGTTCCAAGGTTGGTTGCCCGGTACACTCGCTGGCCAATCATGTAACCATCTATTGTGGATGGCATGGATGGCCCCAAAAGGAGCATTTTCCGAAATACCACACAGGTGGCGTACGTCACCTGGAAAAGGTCTCTAAGGACGACCAAAAAGACGTTTTGCTGCCTGCCTGGTAGCGTCATAGCGCTGCAGTCGCACCCAAACGTGGTGCTTGGCCTTCCTTACTGGGAACCGTTCTTCAAACGCCCGGTTACCGAATGGGCACACCACCGGGTCACCGGTCATGTGACGCTGGGAACCCGTCTTCGTTGACAACACCCGGTACCGGGAGTGGTTCTGATCGAACGGAGCCTGTGCGCCCTTCCAGAAGTCTACAACGCATTGACGAAGAATTACGAACACGGTGTTCAGCAAACTATTAAAGAAAAATGGATGGAACATGAATTGGGCAGCCCGTGGCCCGTCTGTCCAGACCGAATGGTATTTGACGTTCACCTGTCCAGACTGACTTCCTACTGGATTGAGCTTACTACCCATCAAAAACGAACAAACAA